ATAAGAGGTCCCACCATCTTCAAGCAGAGAGAACTCCAGAACCCGAGAGAGAAAACAAGAACTATAAAATAACTGAATGGCTGTACCTAATTTCAAACTCCCAAAAACTTAAACACCAACCAATGGCTGAAACTTTCCCAGCTAATAAGTCTTCATCCACAACTCCGATCGACTTGATTTTACCACCAAAGAATTGCCCTTGATCAGATCTTCAACTTTCTAGAAAACAACTTCTTCAAATTCTCACTTCTGAAATCCGTCATTTTTTCTCTCTCTAGACGAAATATTCATAGGAAGCTTCTTCAGCGAGCTTCTTCATTTTTCACCTTTTTCTAGCTTAGAAATACGTCAGTACTCACAAAAACAACCTCAAGTATGAAAATACAACCGTATATATGGTTGACACCATACCACCCTGATACTCGCGCCGCCCTCGGCACGCTGACTGCCATTAACCACTGACTTCTTGACTGGTTCAAACCCAACTCTGCTACACTTTCCTCTGACACCGCTCAACTCGACTCCATTTGACTTCTCACACGGCGACACTCCGCCTCTTTCAACTCTTCTCCTACACTATTGCTGAGCTCGCCTCCACCGACGTCTACAGCCTCCATAAATAAATCCTCCTGGCGCTCCACACCTGAACTCATAAAATCTCCCCCTTCAGCTGCTCCTCTCAAGGATGTGCAGCTAACTCTACCTGCGTCTTCTACGCTTGTTCTTAAATGAAAACACCAACATACCTCCATTCGATTCTGGAACTTCCCATTCAGCTACAACCACAGCTCTCAGCTGGCCTCAGCTCTGGTCATCCTCGACTCTGATTCGGATGGCTCCGACACATTGGACTCTGGCTCAGCTCCGGCTGTTTCATCATTTGAACGTGTATGGTACTTTTTCAATCGGAAACCATTGATCCGCGTTGGCAGCAGGTTTCCACTCAAATCTGCCACCTGCACCGAGCCATTGTCGTTGACATTCACCACCACGTAAGGGCCCAGCCACCGTATCTTGAGTTTTCCTGGCCGCTTCCAAAACTTGCTGTCATACAGCAACACCAAATCCCCTATTGCAAACTTCCGCTCTCGAATATGATCATCATGCCATTTCTTTCTCCGCTTTTGCAATGCCTCTCTAGCTTGAAATGCCAGCAGCCTCGTCTCATCCAATCGTTCTAGCTCGTTCAACCTCTGCTGTATGGCACCGTCCCAGTCCATAGCATGCTCTACAGCCGTCCTCAAGGCTGGAACTTCAAGCTCCACCGGCAATAGTGCTTCCTGCCCATAAACAAACTGAAAAGGTGAGAACCGAGTGGTCACCTTAAAAGCAACTCGATACGCCCAGACTGCATCCAAAAGGCGCTTATCCCAATCCGTCCGAGAAGCTGAGCAGGTCTTAGTAACAATCCGGCAAAGAGTTCCATTTGTACGCTCCACTTGACCATTGCAACACGGGTAGTAAGGAGTAGACTTCGAGTGATAAACTCCATAAGTTTCTGTCAGTGCTGCCACTGCCTCGTTCAAGAAGTGTGTACCCCGATCACTCACCAGTTCGAGGGGAACTCCAAACCGTGTAATTATCTGCTCATAAAGAAAATCCGCCACCTTCTTACCAGTATCCTCCCGTAGAGCCTTCACCTCAGACCATTTTGTAACGTAATCAGTGCAGACCAGTACATACTTATAACCTGTCCGTCGAGCTGGAGGAAACGGTCCACAAAAATCAATCCCCCATTTTTCAAACGGCATCACTGGCAATAGTGGATGAAGAGGTTGGTAGTCACGCTTATCAGGCTTCCCTGCTCGCTGACAAGGGTCACAAGTTTTGACGTAGTACGTAACCTCCTTCCTCAATGTCGGCCATCAATATCCAGCTCTGCAAATAATCTCCACCGTCGCTTCTGTTCCAAAGTGGCCTCCATATGCCGAATCATGGCATGCCGCTATCACCTTAGTCGTCTCATGTGGTAGCAAACACCGCCTCAGTACGCTATCTCGTCCAATCCGGTATAATACACCACCAACCATCGTATAGAGTCGGCTCTGCAACAGAAGCCGTCGCTTCTGCCGGTTATTCAACCCTGCCGGATACTCGCCATTGCCAAGGAACTTAACCATCTTGGCATACCAGTCCGGCACTGTTTCAAATTGGAAGATAGGTGCATCTGGCAAATCATCCTCTACGCCTACTTCCTCATCACTGTCCTGTGGTGGCAGCCTCGATAAGTGATCTGGCATCTGATGGCTGCTTCCAGGTTTCAACACAATGCGGAACTGAAATTCCTGGAGCAGCAACAGCCAACGTGTGATTCTTCCTGTCTTGCATGGCTTCCCTATTAAATACTTCAGTGCCTGATGATCAAGGAAAAACACGAACTCCTTGCCAAGTAGATAATGCCGATATTGCTGGATCGCATAGATCATGCCAAGTCCTTCCCTCTCAGTTGCTGAATAGCTCTTCTCAGCCGTTGAAAGTTGACGGCTGCTGTAACATATTGGATGATCTGCTCGTCCATCTGAGCGTTGACACAGCACCACACCAATGGCCACTGCTGATGCATCCACGTGAACGTGAAACTCCAGGTTCCAATCTGGCATCTTCAAAATCGGCGCGTTTACCAGTGCTAGTTTCAAGCGTTGGAAGGCCGCCTCACATACAATTGTCCACTCATATTTAGCCCCCTTCTTCAGCAGGCTAGTCAAGGGTAGAACTTTCTCAGCAAAGTTCCTCACGAAACGGCGGTGATATCCCACATGCCCAAGAAATGCCTGCAATTGCTTCACAGTCTCTGGTGACACCAGCTGCATGATCACCTGCGTCTTGGCCGGATCGACAGCTAAACCTTCTCTTGACACTATCCGACCCAGCAGCACTCCATGCGTTACCCAGAACTGACACTTGAACGGGTTGAGAGAAATCCCATAGTGCCGACAGCGTTCAAAACACTTCTCGAGAAGGCCTTCATGCGCCAACTCACTCCCATAGACACTGAAGTCGTCAAGGAATACTTCCATAAACTCTCGCATGTACGGCTGGAAAGCTGCTGTGACAACCCGCTGAAAGGTAGCAGGTGCATTACACAGGCCGAAGGGCATAACTTTGTAGGCGTAGCAGCCCCACTCAGTCACAAACGTGGTTTTGAGCTGATCCTCTTCTGCTATCTGCACTTGGTTATAGCCGCTGAATCCGTTGAGGAAGGAATAAAGCTCGTGTCCCGCCACAGCATCAAGTACCGTGTCAGTAAAGGGCAGAGGGAAGCCATCCTTCTCAGTCACCTCGTTCAGCTTCCGGTAATCCACACAGACTCGCAGCTGACCATTCTTTTTCGGCACCACCACAATCGGAGACAGCCACTGGCTCATTTCCACCTCGTAAATAAACCCAGCTCGCAGCAACTTCTCCAGCTCCTCTCGAACAGTCTTGGAGTAATTCGGGTTCATCCTATACGGCCGCTGCCAAATAGGCACTGCTCCTGGCTTGAGAATGATCCGGTGCTGAGCCAGCTTCACATCCACACCTCGCATGTCTCTATAAGACCATGCAAACACGTCGAGGTACCTGTAAAAGAGGCGCCTCAACCTTTCCTTAACTTGGACCGGCAAGTTAGCTCCGACCTTCACCACCTTTTCCTCCTCGGCTGATCCGAGGTTCATCTCTTCGACAATTGGCTGAGCTGTGTATCGGCTACTACCTCGTCCTCCAGGCTGGATCGCTGGCTCTTCATCAATCTCTGGAACGGAACCATCTATAACTTCAGAATAAAAATGGCGGGGAAACTGCTGCAGTCGTTCCTGCTCCACTACTGGCTCCAAGTCCTCGACCTGAACCATTCGACAGCTCACATCACCACCAAACAACCAATGCTTGAGTCGATCACTTGCTGTTCCATCTTCAAAAGGTGACAGCAGCAGGGCATCGTAGCCGGAGCAGGGCTCCACAGCTGCTACCTCCACTGAACTCTCATCATTCGACCGACTCTGCTCCGAACACACCTCACTCATACGCTCTCCTGCTTCTGATCCAGTCGTGGTATCACTACTGTCATCGATCCCATCCACTATCGGCTCACATGCCACTGGAGTCCAGGCCGGCCTCTTCCTCGTCCGAACTTGGATAGTGCGCGACTTGTTTCCATCTCCAATCTTAATAGTCCCCTTCGGCCAACTCTGATCTGCCCAGGCCTGTAACAACCACGGTCTTCCCAAAAGAATTGGATAATCCAGCTCATGTCCAACCATCCTCAGCACCACGTAATCAACATAAAAGATAAAACCGGCAATCTCCGTCTTCACCCCAGTAAGTACACCAACCGGTCTCGAGCGAGAATGATTCGCCATGCGGACACGAAAATAAACTGGAGACAGCTGCTCCAACCCAAGTTTTGACACCATTTGCTCAGGCATTACGTTGATGGCAGCACCTCCATCAATCACGCACCCCTTCAAGTGCTGACCTGAAATCTCTACATCTATAATCGGATTCTCTGCTTCGATCATCGGCCATGCTGCATTCACTACCACCTCTCGATGGGCCTTGACTGCTGTGGCCACCACTTTCCTCAGACTTGGTGCCAGCTGTAGTAATTGCGCAAATGTGATACTCGGCTTCTGATTCTCTAAGTCCTTGAGCACGTCGTAGGGCTGAGTTTCCAGATTTAGCACTTGCTTATACCGGCGAGATCTCCGCTGGCCCATCTTCAACGGCTCACCCCCAAAATGTTCCTTGAATACCTCTGCCAGCCGCTGCAGCGTCGAGATGCCCACCTTCCTCATAACCTCTTGCGGATCCATTCCACCACTCACCTGGTTCGCATCCGTTTCCTTGCCGTCATTAGGGCACTGAATAGTCCCCGTGATATTCTTGGCGAGATCTCCGCCATCGGCTATTGGCGCATCCTGAATGCCGCCTCCTTCCAGACCTAAGTCGATCCCCATTTTTTCCTTGTGGTGCTGCTCCTTCCTGTTTTGGCAAGCTATCATCTCTGGATCCTCCTGAGTATGCGTCCGCTCAATTCTCTGTTCAGCCCTTGTTCTCGGCTCATCTCGGATGTACAACCCGCGGTCCCTCCGCTGCAACTATGCTCGTGTGTTGACATTCCACACAGGTGTGTCCGCTCTCAACTCTTCAGAATTCACAAAAATGGCTTTAGTATCCACCACCTCTTTTCCCTTGTCCTGATTTTGACGCTGATTTGGCACTTGCAAGCAGTAGGGGCAATCCTCCTGTCGATGAAGTCCCTGTGTCTGGCATATCCCACAGATTGGCTGATACTCTTCAGACTTCTGTGCATTCGGACAGTTTGGTGCGATATGTCCAGGTTCCCCACACCGGTAGCACACTATCGGGCCTCGGCCTCGGCCTCTGCCTCTGCCTCCGAACATTCCCATCCGGCCGCCACCTCGGCCTCCACCGGCAGTCTGCTGCAGCATTGGCCCCGAGTTCTGCACAGCTCCTGGAGCTCCTACGTTAAAAACCGGGTACGTCTCATACTGCTGGTGCTGAACCTGTTGCTGTGGAAATTGTTGTTGATGGTGAAATTGTGGTTGAACGTAATAGCTTGCGACTACAGGTTGCTGCTGGAACTTGGGCGTCACACGAGCTGGATGAAAAAAGCACTTCTCAGGCTTGTGGCCGAACTTCCCACAATACGGACAAGGAGCTTTTGCTGGTATCAGATTCGGACATTCACTAGGATAGTGGCCATATCCTTGACACTTAATGCACCAGATCTCAGCTCTCTCATGCACCGGCCGAGTTGGAGCTCCCAAACCTTGAACCAGACTCACTTGGAGTTCTGCCATCTTCTTGGTAAGTGTCTCCACCACATCTTCTTTCACTTTTGTGAGTTGGCTCTCAAATCCGGTCATGTTTCCTACAGGTAACTGGAGAACTGACGGCTGGACCGGAATCAAAGGTGGAGCTGCTACGGCTCCAAGCACACCAGTCTGGTACTGTGCAATATTCGGTGAGAACAAGTTACCATATGTTGCTGGTGGAGCTGCAGCTGCAATATTCCGCGATGACATCCGGGCCTGTTCCCATGTTGCTGCGTGCTCCACTGCTGCGTTCAAATCTGCCGGTCTTTGCACCTTCACGTGGAACCCGATTTCAAATGGCAACCCATTCAAGAACCAGCGGACTTGGTCGTCAGCGGCAGGCTGTGGATCTTTCCTCGCGAGCAGCCTCTTGTAGCGAAGAACATAATTTTGCAATGTCTCTCCAGGTAACAATTGAATTGAATTTAGCTCATCACTGATACGCTGCTTGAATCCCATAGGACGGAAAGCATTGAGAAATGCTGTTTTGAGGTCTGCCCAGGCTGCAAAGGCTGCTGCTGCATTCGCCTGACCATACCATTCTGCTGCTGCTCCCAGCAATGTTGCCGGAAACAGACGGACTCTCACAGCATCTGCCTGCTCCTGATTTGCTGTGCTGACGTTTTCAAAAGCAGTTACGTGAGCGTCTGGATCGTCAGTCTGTGTAAACGTTGGATACTTCATCCTCGCATTGGCAGGCTGTGCCATTTGAGGATTTACTGCTTGAGGTGTGGGCGATGTTGGTTCAAATGGCCCCCACTCCTCCCAATTCAAACTTGAGTCCGAAGTCCTCGGACTAGTTTCAGGGCTGGTTTCAGGCGAATTCTGCAACAGTCTCCTCGCTGCTCGTTCAGAACGGCCTCGATTCTGCTCTGCCCTTCTAGTAGAAAAATCTAGAAAATTATCCCAGTCCGGGGATCTACCCGCCAGACCGAGAACCAACTGTGGCAAAGATGCTTACTGCAGATGCCCGCAGATGACCGGCCTTTTCCTCAGGCCCGGTTTACTGCGCAGTTACTGCGACTAAGCCCTCCCGGCTAACGCACCAAAAAATGTGGGGAAAAATACACAACAACCAAGAAAGACAGGAAAGACTCCCCTAGGGCTTGTATTTCAGCAGTAACTACAAATCACTCATACTGAGTGCGCTGGGCCTGCAGTAACTCCTCTATGATCACGGCGATGGGATCTTGACGGCCTATAAGAGGTCCCACCATCTTCAAGCAGAGAGAACTCCAGAACCCGAGAGAGAAAACAAGAACTATAAAATAACTGAATGGCCGTACCTAATTTCAAACTCCCAAAAACTTAAACACCAACCAATGGCTGAAACTTTCCTAGCTAATAAGTCTTCATCCACAACTCCGATCGACTTGATTTCACCACCAAAGAATTGCCCTTGATCAGATCTTCAACTTTCTAGAAAACAACTTCTTCAAATTCTCACTTCTGAAATCCGTCATTTTTTCTCTCTCTAGACGAAATATTCATAGGAAGCTTCTTCAATGAGCTTCTTCATTTTTCACCTTTTTCTAGCTTAGAAATACGTCAGTACTCACAAAAACAACCTCAAGTATGAAAATACGACCATATATATGGTTGACAGCTCTACAACTGGTTTCGAAATGCTTAAGCATTCCAGGTCTGATATAAGAGTGTCCATGGGCCTTGGTCTCAACACACCACGGACGGGAGGTGTTCTCAAGGCAGCGCTCAAAAGATCCTCTGGACTCACAAAAATCTCCTCCGGAACAGCTTCCAAATGTCCATCCCTCGCAGGAAGAAAGCACGTACTGCCTTCGAAAATTGATCTCCGAGTAAAAGTTTTGGGAGAAGGACTCTCCTCCTGGAGCTCGAACGCATCCACTTCGGCAAAATGTGCTTGCTTCTCTCGAACAAAAGTGGCTGGAGGTTTCAAAGGAACCACCCTTCTCTGGGATCCATGAAAAAACTCAGGAACTCTCAAAACCTGGAAAAACCCAAAGACTTACTTTCATCTGGGCCGAAAAACGTTGCAGCGCACAAGGTATCTTATGGTGCGCAAAATCCTTTTGAAAGACCACACTTGTTCGTCTTGAAGAATCCAATCCACGAGTAAAGATCAGTGCTTCAAAACACGCCGTGCACCACGGCGTGTTGGCGTGGTGACACAAACACGGCCCCCAGCCGTGTTAACACGGGCCGTGTTCATTGACTCGGTCAATGCTCCAAAACACGGCTCCAAACACGGTTGAAACACGGTTGAAACACGGTCAAATACCGTGTGACCACGCCGTGTTTTAAAACAATAGCTCACGTGGTTCACGTGAGTGTTTTGCGCTTTGATGTTTTCTTGTCTTGCGATCAATCAAAAATTCCTCTCAGATGGATCGTATAACAAAGGGTTCTGTGCAGTGGTGGGAGGACAATGGCTACTCAGGTCCAGATTTGCAGAGGTTGACAATTCGAGTGCTTAGTTAGGCAAGTTCTTCCTCATCTGTGGAGCGATTATTCAGCATTTTTGGGCACATCACTTCAAAGAAGAGAAATTACTTAGTAGTGAGCCGGATTGCAGACTTGGTATTTGTGGCCAATAATACCAAGTTGATAGGGAGCCACACTTCCTATGACAAGTTTGTGGGATTGAGCCAGACAGGAAGTATTCCTCAAATTACTAATGTTGATATTGAAGCTATGGAAGAAGAGGATGAAGATGAAAATGATGATCCTGCTAATGAGGAGCTTCTAGATGAGACGGAGTGATAAGTAGAATATTCTAGAGAATATTCGTGTTTTCACCCGTGTTTATCCGTGTTCATTTCCATGTTCCATGTTCGTGTTCAAAAAATTGAATGCCATGTTCGTGTTCGTGTTCGTGTTTTGAAGCTATGGTAAAGATAAAAGAAGAACACCGGAAAATCTCACCTGGAAGAAAGACAGCGATCGATCCAGCTCTTGGTATGCGTTGTCGTCCTCTTCCCCTCATCGGCGGCACCTCCATCCCTGGCCTTGCCCCGCCGCTTAAAAACAGCAGCTGGCTTCTTCCTCTCCACTCCCACGAAATCCCCATCTGGCCGATGGATCAAGATCACAAGAACACTAGCAGCGGGGAAAAGAACACACCTGGGAACAGTGCCTCTTCCGCCATGTCCAAGCTCTGAGGGCTCAAGCATTTCGAATTTTGGGCGGGAAAGGGTTTAGGGCATACATGTGGACAGAAAATGGCATAAAAAGTATCGGGAAGTGGGCTGTTTTCTAGGTGACAATAAGAGGGTCTTGGGACGATGTTTCTCTAGAACTTTGGTCGTGTTCCCTGGGCTATTCCCCTCTAGAATTTGGGAAATCGTTCATTCATGGCTCTTCCAAATTTCAATTTGCTATTGCTGATTATCAATGAGAATTTGTTGATCATATTTGCTAGTAAGTCCTCACCTGTGTTTTCCTTTTGATTAAATCTATGCATTGCAGCTTTTAGTGCTGCGTGCTTGAAAGACTACACCAAAGCAGGAGTTTTAGCTTCTCTGTTCTTGCTTGGAAACTGGATCATAGCTTGGTCTGAGGGGAATAACAAAGATCACGTAAGAATTCCCAATCTCTTCATTTGATTTTACATACTCTTGTCCAACAGATCAACATCTCCAATGATCTAGAATCCGCATCATTTGTGAAAACCACAAGCTCGTCTCGTAAGATAGAATCTCATAACAACAAATCTGGGGAGACAGTCACAACAATGGTCATAGACTTCTTTGCAAAATATCATACCCCAGGTTAGAAAACATTCTAAGAAACATTCTAAGATCACTAAATCATTGATATTAAAAAACATCACTATTGTTTGTGCGTGCCTGTGCAGCCATGATCTTAGCTACAGCACTGGTCCCTCTGGTGCTGGACACGAGCAATCGAAAACACTGGCTTTACTTGTCGCTCGTCGTAAGCCCATGCGCTCTTGTGATCTCTAGCACAGTCACAACCACTGTCGCAAAAGCCCGAGCTGCGCAATTGGGTCTTGTGATCCAGGGCGGTGCTGGCTGCCTCACGGCTCTTGCAAGGCTCAAGATCCAGAAGGAGAAACTCCGGGAGGTATTGAGCAACAATGGCGAGATCACTGTGACATGCGAGGATGGCGATGGCAGCAGCGAGCATGCGCGGCCAAGTCTCGAGCCCAACGAAGTTGCCATGCTCACATCGGCAGCTTGGATTGGGAGAGAGTATGTTGCGGCAGTCTCCTCTTGCAATCTCTTCTTGCTCGTCACAAAGATGCTCGTCACGGGGTTTGTCGTCGCTGGCTACATTCCAGCGCTTGGGGCAGTGGCCCTCATTGCAGATCTTGGAGCTTGCACGGCGGTGGCTTTGAGAGGATTTGTCACACTCTTGTTGGTCGAGGAGAAGGGAGCTTCTCGACGAGATCTGGAAGAGCGGAAACAAGGTGAATGGGATTTGAGGACTCCGTTGCTTTAGAATTCTCCAAGTGTTTGCCTTCAAATTGAAACCAAAAGTGTGCCATATGGTGATGCTACAGTTAAGAATAGAGCGTATATGCTGTATACATGTGTTTACAAAATGACAATACTTAGTTTGTATGTATGTATGTATGTATGATATATATATATATATATATATATATATATATATATATATACAGATCTTATAAACTGAAAATAAGTTTTAGATTTTTCTAGTCATTAATATAAGACAGCCAAAAGATCATGAATTGCAATCTCAGAAGTTCTTACCACAATTAATATACATATTCTCATATCATACAATTATATTTATACATTTAATTTTTATTTCACTTAGCAATAATGTATGGTTTACTTTGAATTTTACCAATTTATAATATAAAATTTAAATAACAAAAGGCAATATATTCACATAGGTTTCAACTTGACTTGGAGACTGAGGTCTCTTAACTATAAAATAGAAGCTTTTATATTTTACAGAATATATGAAGTTATTCTTAAATAACTAGATAATAAATAAATAATAATAAAGTTTGTCAGCTGAGAAATCTCCTTTCCATGCTTCTATAGGGAAAAAAATATTTCAAGCCAAAGAGTGAAGAATGTTGTATATCTGCACAAAACATAGTATATCCACTATGTTTGCTTACCTCAGGAGTAAGCTGAGCTCGATCCAGCTCGCGTAGGATCGCGGGAACTCTGGCATTGCTCTCCGGATGACCCTCCTGGAAATCAGGTCCATATTCATGAAAACAGGAAATCTGTCGAACTAGAACTTATTACTCACTTGATTGTTGCCCCGAGCAGGAGCTGAGCAGTACAAGATACGTGAATCTTCACTCACAGTTGCTGCAAACGCTGGGGCCTTGTGACAAGAACGTAAACTCGATCCTGCGAGGACTCGGGACGTGCAAGAAACCATGCCCCACTCACTCGACATGCCCAACCTAAAAAGTTTCAAGATATCTTTCACTTGGAACTATTGTATGTTAGAGAAAAAGTTTTATTTTCGAAGCAGGCCATTGATAGAGTTAACACTGAGGAAGCCAGCCTTAAGTTTGCCGCTGGTCATCCTCAAGTCGTCAATTATATAGCTCCAAGTCAAACCCAACACTCCCACAAAGAAATCACACTCGGCTGCCATGACCAAGTTTATAAAGGCCGTGTTGAACGCTTGCTTGTCTCCAAGCAACGCCATATACTCCGCCATCCTGATCGTTCCAACTTGCCTTGGAACATCACTGTAATAAAACTTCCAGCCTTTGTACTCCTTGGATTCATCCACGACGTTCTAAACCATGCAAAAGCTTTGTGATTTCAAATCTTTGTCAATGGCTTTCTTACCTGCATTTCTGTGGAAAGCCACACACTTCTTACGTGTGGGAATCTCTTCCGGAGGACATTAGCGAGCTTCATGTATTCGTCAAAAGAGACTACTCTCATCTCGCTGGCTTTGTCACCCTGTCTCACATGAATGCTTAACAGAGGCCGCGGCATCCAAGGTCCATAGTCACTCCACACATGTTCTTCCATGGGATTACTGGAATTACGCTTACTCTCATTTCTTGTATGCGGCCATTCAGTGCCAAGGGTTTTAAGCACCAGTTTTGCAACTTCTTCCCCAAAGGCTCTATGTCGTTCTTTGTTTAAAAGATTGCACAGATACTCACTTGGAAATCGTGTGAGATAGCGAAGTGCCTGTATACGTTAATTCTAGATCATTAGCCTACCATTTGATGAATGAGAAACTTGCCTGAGCTCTCCACCACCTTCGATGATTTGTGTGGTAATTTGTCATGAGCTTGTCTTTTACCCCCACAGTTGGTCGCATTGCTTTCCAAGGCTCTCCCCAAAAACTAAAAACCAGATAATACTAAGTTACTGTATGAAAAAAACTCTTTTTTCTCACCTTGGTATCTCACCATTCCATTGATCGCCACTAAACTCTTTGATAATTCCCTCGTCCCAGGCCTGTTTTTGCTCAGCAAGCCGCAATGCCCTTTCCATGCACTCCTCAGAAGCCTCGGGAACAAAGTAGCACGACCAGCGAGCGTGGTTGGATCCTAGCATTATTTTAACACTTTGAAAACATCAGCCCGAGATAGTCGATAAAAGAGTTTTGAAACCTGTGCATCCTTTGTGCCTGGCACCGTGGTAATCCTTGGTAATGAAAACCCGGCCTTGTATTAGCGCAGCTCCAAGCATTCCGGCCATTGACACCATGTCAGATCCAACTCCTACCGAGTCGCGCGTCTCGTCGTGGTGCCAAAGTGCGAGAAGAAATCTCGCATCGGTACAGTTTTTCGGGTGTTGGTGCAACCAAATATCACGCTGGACGCGTCGCGTTAACGGGATATTATCGTCATCACCGCTAATGACCTGTCCAAGAGCAGCAAAAGGCTACTGAGAAAACCAAGAAAACGAGAAAGATTACCCGATCTAAGAAGAACCTACCTATAAGAGAACTTACCCATGCTGATGCTTGTCTCTGAATTCATGTCAAGCTCCTCTTTTTGCTGGTAAAATCCCTTCCAGGATGGATCGTTCCTGCGATCAAACTCTGCAGTCTCCTGGCTGCATCGCTTGCAATCCTGGATGTGCGGTGCATTGATCGTCACCTCGGGAGGCGTTGCACCGCTCACTCTCGACTACAGATCGCTGCTCCACAGATCGACCAGGAGTTTTACTCTGCTCGACGCAGCCGAGGTCGAGGAATTAATTGATCTTGGTGCGGGTGTTGGTGTTACACTAGCCTCTTGGCGATCCTGTTTCATCCAGTTCATTCTGAAACTAATCAAACAACCAAGTTCAAGGACAAGATCCAAAACAGGAGCCATTTCAGGGAATCCTTCTCCTTTCATCCTTTTGAGAAATTAGACGAGCACCTAATAGAGATCATGATCCTATAGTACAGTTGACTAATGCGACCATGATGGAGATTTTTTTGTGGAAGTAAATTCACGAACGTGCTGAACACTAGATTTCTCGTTTCAGCAACAAAACAACAGTAAAGAAGAATAGCTGTCTGATTATACCAAGTGCGTGCGCCACATGTAACGTAAAATACTCATTTTTACAGTCTGTACCAAAATCGAATCTAGCAAAGAGAAGGGCCGTCCGATCTCCTCCATCCAAGGGTACAGACTAGAAAGCTTAAGATGAGTTTGAATGTCAGTCGAGCTTACCTTACTCCAAAACTATGTTTGGGAGCAATGGACTGAGGAAGATTTTTGGGATTGGGGTTACAGCTCTTGTGCTTTTATTCATAATAATCGCTAACATTTTGTGGAGTAAGAGTAGTGTTGATTCTTTCTGGCATGTTGGCCCTTCAAAGTCTTTGGTGAAATGGGATGATCACAACAGCACAGGAGTTTTCATATGGCCAGTCCCCCAAAAACGTCTCCAAGGGATCGATTTCCATGAGACTGTGCACAAAGTTTGCCATAACTCCTCCCAGAACTTTAAAAGTCTTGCAAGCAGGGATTGATCGCTACACGGTATTGATTCTCAAGCAGAGAAAGCTAAGGATTCCAGCGAAAAAGAATCCACCAGATTTTGTTTTGGACGAACTTCGTATCGAGCTCAAGTCATTCAACCAAAGCGTGAGAGAGACAAAAATTTTAACTTATTTTTCTAGGGAGCTCTATCTTGGTGTAGATGAATCGTATCGCCTCCAAGTCCCCGACCCTTCAAATTCAAGGGTAGTATTAGCAAAATCTTTGAAGTTGAGCGCTGGTTCACCTCCTTTCTAGCGGCAAGAACTGTCTATGGGGCCCTACGAGGACTCGAGGTAGGCTTGAAAACAAAAGTTTTGGATTTGCTAAACTATTTGCATTTTTTATAGACTTTTAGCCAGATTTGCACTTACAATGCTGTCGAAAGAGCTGTGCTTTTGCAAGGCTGCCCATGGAACATTTTTGACGAGCCTAGATTTTCATATCGAGGCCTTTTGATTGGTGAGAACTTTTTTTCTTTAGAACAGACAACGGCCTCTAATTAATTTTCACTCGCTTACCAGATACTGCTCGACACTACTTGCCATTAAAGACGATAGAGAATGTGATCGACTCCATGGCCTACGCGAAGCTTGTGAGTTCCAATTTCTCTATCCCTTATATATGAGCCGAGCCCCTTTCTAACTTCTTTGCCTCCAGGATGTCTTGCACTGGCATGTTGTCGACGAGGAGTCCTTCCCTTTGGAGATTCCATCGTTTCGAAAGGCTCCTACTCTATCTCTCAGCGCTACAACCTCGATGATGCAAAAGCTATAGTCAAGTAAGCTATACTTTGAAAGAGAGTGCAAATGTCCATGCTTTTATTCTTATACAGGTATGCTCGATTGCGAGGTATACATGTCATGCCAGAGATTGATGTCCCAGGCCACGCTCGCTCATGGTAAACTTCTTCTGCCTCCATTGTAAATTAATAGATTTACTTGCGTGTAGGGGAGTTGGATATCCTGAGCTATGGCCCTCTGAAAACTGCAAAACACCTCTGGACATCAGTAAGAATTTCACTTTTGAGGTGATAGATGGCATATTTTCCGGTATGAACATGTTTTATATTGAATCAAAATCCTTGTGTCAACTCTATGCTGCCTAGATCTCTCAAAGGTGTTTCCATTCGAGCTCCTTCATATAGGAGGAGATGAAGTTAACACTAGTAAGCAGCAAATTTTCTTGGTGATTGTCAGCTTATTTTCTGCTAAACAGGATGCTGGGAAATCACAGAACCTGTAAATGACTGGTACGTTAGATTCGGTTTTACGAAACATCCAACTGTCTGAAGCAGGCTGAGAAAGCACAATTTAACACCTTCACAGGGCTATGAGTTTTTTGTGCTTCAAGTGCAAAAACTGGCCTTGAAACATGGATACGTTCCTGTCAACTGGTAAGGAGATTAGCCATGTCGGATTCCATTAAGTTTTGCTCTCTCTAGGCAAGAACCATTTGAAAAATTTGGACCAAGTTTGTCAAGGAAAACAATTGTTCACAACTGGTAACTTATCAAAAGGGGTTGTCTCTCTAACTCAGATTGTTCAAATGGCTATTCAGGTGGGGCACTCAAATTCCTCCCAACACTGTCAGCTCGGGCCTCAAGAGTATAGTTAGCGAGCAATTTTCATGGTCACATTGATATACCATGGGAGGAGTTTTATTCAAAGGAACCATATGATAACATTGCCAGCCACAAAGAACAGCAGTTGATTATTGGAGGTGAGGTTTGTATGTGGGGTGAGAAAGTTGATGCAGCCAATATCCAACAAAGAATATGGCCAAGGGCAGCAGCGGCGGCAGGCAAGCTAGCTTCACTGTATTTGCTTTCTTGGCTAACAATTTTTATTTTGGCCAGAGGGGCTTTGGAGCCCATCTAATGTCACAGGTTTGGGTCCCAAAAATGCTGCTCCTAGGCCTGAATTTTTCAGAAGCCTGCTGAATGAAAGAGGAATAGCTGCTTCTCCAGTGAAATCAAAAGAAGGCTGAAGACACCCCAGGGAATATCTAGGAGTTTGCTCTAAAATAGAACCGCTGCCCACAGTGAGGACAGGGTATGCTCATAGTGGCTTGACGTTCTCTTGCTTCTCGTCGTAAGTCGCTCATTCACACGATCGAGGGCGCTTCGCCGAGGACCTCTTCGTTGAGGCATCTTTTTTCCTTTATTCTCTTCTCCTCACATATAATTGATCTCCTGTTTTTTCCCCCTTAAGTGTCCCCAATGGTCGTGACCCTAATACTGAAGTGGCGGCAAATGGAATATTCCCTCAGTTCTACCCCCACCTATTGGCCCGGAGCACACAGCTCCACGGCAGCTTCATCTCGCTCATGGTACTTGCGCAGGCGAGCTCCATTAACACGAGTAGGTAACAAGTTCCCACTAAGATCTTCAAGCTGAACCGAGCCATTGGTAAAAACTTCAACGATGCGATATGGGCCAAGCCAGCGAATACGGAGTTTCCCAGGCTTTTTCCAGTGCTTGCTATCGTAAAGGAGAACCTGATCACCAGCAGAAAAATTTTTAGCATGCAAATGACGATCGTACCAGACTTTGCGGCGCTTCTGAAGTGCTTCGCGAGCTTGGAAAGCGAGAAGTCGACGCTCGTCGAGTTGGAGAAGTGTGTCCAGTCGAGCTTGAAGAGTGTTGTCCCAGTCCAAGTTGTGCTCGACAGCCATACGGAGAGATGGAATCTCAAGCTCGAGTGGTAGGATGGCTTCTTGTCCATAAACAAGCTGGAACGGTGAAGCTTTGGTGGTGACCTTGTAAGCAACGCAGTATGCCCAGAGAGCATCCAACAAGCGTTGATCCCAATCTGTGCGAGAAGCACTGGCAAGCTTCGTGATAATGTCGCACAGTATCTTATTGGTGCGCTCCACCTGTCCGTTAGCACGAGGGTGATAGGGAGTGGACTTACGATGAGCGATGCCATACTTCTCCACCAAGGTCGCGATCACTTGATTGATAAAGTGAGTACCTCTATCGCTCACCAGCTCCAAAGGGCAGCCAAATCTCGTGATGATGTTCTTGTAAAGAAAAGTCGCAACCTTGGCAGCTGTGTCTTCCGTGAGAGCTTCTGCCTCGGCCCACTTCATGACATAGTCCGTGCACACGAGAATGTAGCGGCAACGGGAAGGATGGCTGGCTGGCTTGATCGGTCCCACAAAATCGATGCCCCACTTCTCAAAAGGAAGCACCGGAAGTAGAGGATTAAGCGGCATCAGATCACGACGAGTTGGGCGACCAGCACGCTGGCAGGGATCGCAGGTCCAAACGTAGGCAGCAACATCCTTGTGAAGCGTTGGCCACCAGTAGCCTGCTTGGAGAACCAACCGAATTGTTCCTTGTGAGGAGAAGTGGCCGCCATAAGGTGAGTCATGGCATGATGCTATGACTGTCTCCACCTCATGAGGAAGGATACAACGGCGTAGAACATCGTCACGGCCAAGGATGTAGAGCTGGCCATGCAGGAGAGAGTATGGACGAGCCTGGATAATAAGTCGCTTGCGTGCGGTGACCGTAAAGTCAGCAGGGAACTCGCCGGTAGCCAGATAATCTGCAATCCCTTGATACCATTCGGGAACAGCGTCGACCGCAAAGAGATCCGTGGTGTCGCAAGAAAACAGAGTTGCATCAGCTGGGTCATCCTCAAGGTCCTGGGAGGAGGGAGGGCCTGGCAATCGTGAAAGGTGATCGGCCATGGCATGAGCGCGGCCGGGTTTCAGGATCACCTCAAAGTCAAATTCCTGGAGGATGATGAGCCAGCGAGATATGCGACCTGTGCTGCAAGGCTTGTTGACGAGGTACTTGAGGGCTTGGTGATCCACGAAAAATTTGAAGTGTGTGCCCAACAGGTAGTGGCGATACTTCTGCAAAGATCATGCCTAAGCCTTCCCGTTCAGTGGCAGAGTAGTTGCGCTCGGCAGAGGAGAGTTGGCGGCTTGCGTAGAAAATAGGGTGATCGATGCCCTCTCGCAGCTGGCAAAGA